AGAGGTGACATTCTGCATTTACTTCCTTGCTAACACTTTCTGCTCCTTAGCACTACTCCCCAGATCTGATACTGATGGCTCTCCCCTATCGCCTCCCTTTCTACAGCTCCTCTTCCTCCATCCACTCTCTCATTCTGGTGATCTAGTATTTCCCACAGGCAGTTCAGTCTCTTGCCCTCATTGTATATTAGCTCATGCCTTCTACTCAGTCCCATTCTTAACAAGCACATAATCCAGTGTGGAAGGTAGCTGTGTCACTAGATTGGGTTCAGTACACCATAGTCAATGCTATGAAAGAAATACAACAAAGGGCTGTGAGCACATATTCATCTGTCATTACCCTATTTGATATTCTCCAAATCAACACTCCAACTTCCCATTCTCTTGAAAGTCATTTACTAAGTACCACATCTTTCCATCACATCCCCTGATCTCCAAAACTACCTTGCAGTTCAGACTTCATTTCTCATATGATTTATTGCAACCACTTTCTATCAGTAACACAATTTAATATATTTCCACACCGTTGTACCAGACATCTCCCTAAAAGACATAACATACCATATCATCCCCTTGCTTTGAAACATCTGTTATCATTCCAATGCCTAACAAAGTTCAAATCCTTACCACAAAAAAATAACCTTATATAATACATTTTTTTCAAATACAGCCTTTTAAAAGTAGGAAGACGAAGTTCCAATTTCACTGCTTACCAGCTATGTTACCTTTGGAGCATCACTCTTCCTAAGCTTTCCCATTTGCAAAATGGGGGCACGAAAAGAACCTACCTCTCTTGGGGTTGTTATCAAGAATAAGAAGGCCCATGCCAAACACCAGCACAGTACCAAGCACTCAATCAACATTAACTATTACCCTGGGATTTTTCATCTATCTAGAATGTCTTACTTCCCAAAGAAAGGACATAATCAAGGTCTTACTTTCATGTATTTTAGAATGATTAATAGTAAGAGTTAAATCATAAATGGCCTTCTGGTTAATCCTGAACCAACCAAAACTTCAATTAACAAGAATACTACTTTCATGAAAATTTTGGCTTGTCTAACTTTATTATAATTTATTAAAAAAACAAGTACCCATTTATTTAAAAAGTAACTACATTAGTTTTGTTTGGTTTCCTATTCAAATTCAGGAAGGAAAACAGTACCTTACCAATGGAAACTCACTTATATATTTAAGAATGTGATTCTCTACAGTATAAAATCCACATGAATTAAATTCAATCTCAACTGCATAATTTCCTAAGATACATAAATATAAAAAACAAATTCTAGACACTTAAGAAAATAAGTGTGCATCAGACGATGGACAGCCAGTCATACAGACCTCACAATCAAAAGATGAAATCACAAAATTTTGTTTAAAAGTCAACAATTTTAATAATTTTTAAAACTACAAAGTCTACAACAATAAACACAACAAAAACAAAACAAATCAGAAACATATTTCAAGGGATTAATATATTTCTGATATTAAGTACTAATGGAAATTAGTAAGAAGATCCTAGCAAACATATGCACAAAAGGATAAACAATTCCAACAAAGGAGAAAATAAAACTAGGAAAATACTGCATTTGCTATTCTATTGTAGACAGTATGTTAGACAGCAGGTCTCCTTACACTCATTTTTAAAAAGCAAAAGCCTATAAAAGCATGATAAAACTGTCAACCAAATTGCGGGAGGCAGTGTAAATCAATACAACCTTTCAGAAATCAGTCTGCCAATATTTTTCAAAAGTGACAAAAACCTTCATAACTTCTGACCATATAATCCCTCTCCGAAAACTTTAACCTAAAGGAAAGAAGCCTAAAACGAAGGACAGCTATGTATTAACTGCATTACTTGCAAAATCAGAGGCAACTTAGATGTCCAATTTTTAAAAATAAGAAACTCAACTCATAATATAATTTGAATGTACAAAAATTTTAGGAAAAAAAAACATTAACCATGGAAGCAACTATAAGCATTACATTTGTGCTCTGATTATAGTATAAAATCATAAGGTGAGAAATAAATAAGAAAAAATTAAGTTTGTTTTTTTTCTTGTTTCTTTGACCATTGTTTGTAAAATAAAAGGCCTGTTGGAATTGATCAGGCCCACCACAGTAAGTACACATTTTAAATTGATTTTTCAGAAGTATAAAATCACAATTTTTCCCCCCAAAAAACTATCACATAGAGTAATCAGATAGGCTCTTCTCATATACAAAGCAGCCATACATGTAATTTTAGCCATGCTATTAGCCAGCTGGAACACTGTTATTTTAAAATCTCATTTTACCACCAAAACCTAACTGTATGCATGATCTACATATGGTGAGCAGAAGCCATTTGCTATGGGGCATTTGGAGAGAGGGCCTCAAGTACTGAGGTTAAAACTATTGGATCAAATGGAATATTAAGCTTAGCTTTCTCCTATATCCCCAAAGGAATTATCATGTTTCTTAGCCACTAAAAGGCTAAGCATTCAAAGAGGAAGAACGTATAAACCAATTTGCTCTGCCTCTGAAAATTGGGAACTTTCTCATTTTCTCCCAAAAGCACCACAGAATAATGAAAAATACATAAGCATGAGGTCAGAACATGTGGGATACAGGTGATTCTAACCTCAAATAACTGGCCCTTTTGGGCTTTAGTTGTTTAATGGGTAAAACTTTTAAAGATGAATCAAATAATCTGTTAATTCTTTCAAGTTCAATATTCTATTAATTTAATAGAATTAAAACTGCCCACTCAAAATTCCCTACTCAGATTATAAAGCAATTATTAAGACTTAGAATTAGGAAACTGGGGGCAAAGGTAAAATACACAGATGGTCAAACTTCTGGATTGTGTCCCAGCCAGACCTGTTTCTTTCTATATGCCCACATGATCCTGGGCAAATTACTTTGCCTCAAAGTCCTAAAATCAAAGAAGTAATCCTTACTGGCCATACCCTTTTGTTCTTGTGTTACACAACACACTGGTTTCTTCTGTCATAACTGGGGTTTCCCTCCTAACTAGGAACAGTAATTTTGACTTCATTCTTAGAAATTTAAAAATGCCTTGTTTGTGCATTCATCTTTTCTAAATTTTCTGGTATTGAGAGAATTAACACATATTGCAGATCTTAAAATTATAGTCAAGACTGAAAGCATTCCTCAGAAATGTATTCAATAAATAGTTTTTGAGCACCTGTGCCACACAACAGTATGTGCAAAGGTCCCTTTCCTTAAGAAGCCCAAAAGTCTGGTGGAGACAAACAAGCAAATCATTAACTACTAACTGACAAATGCTTACTGTATAATGTACAATATACTATTGGATCAATCAAGACAAGTGGGACAAGATGTCTGGACAAGATTCAGAGGTGATATTTTGGTTAGGTCTTGAAAGGCAAGTTGTTTACTAGGTAAAGAATTCTCAACAGAGTGAGTACAGTGTAAAACCACAAAGGAAGATATCATTTTCAGAAACCTCTATGTAGTCTTTGTATGAAGAAGGCAGGCAAAATGGTAGAAAATGAAATTAAAAACATACACTAGTACCAGAATTGTAAAGGACTTGGACTTTCATCAAATACAGATTATGGAGAGTCACTGATGGACTTTTAAACGTGCAACCAAAGTCCTATCTTCCATCATACAGTCAAAGGAGTTGAGTCAAGGCAACAAACAAAAAAATGCAGGTCTGGATGCAGAAAGAATAAACTGTGTTTATTTAAATGGAAAGTTCATGCTTTCAGGATGGCTTCCAGCAGTTTCTTACTATGGCATATTAATACAACACTCAAGTAAAATTACAGGTAAAAGTTCAAGATGGTGTGTTTTCTTTAAGGATTATTTGAAGTCAATTTTGTTGAGAACACTAAAGAAAACAACCAAATGAGAAAATTCAAAAGGTCTATATAATAAATTAAGAGAGGCACACAGTAATAACATCTGAGAAGACTGACTTCAGGAAAAACATCAATAAATGTTTAAATCCTTATCACATTTTAATTTCCAATAAGACACGTTTTGTGCCTATCCTTTGCAAGAAGAGGATATTTTAAATTCCTTTGGTTAAAGAAGAGCTTTATCACTAATAAAGAAGAGCTATCATCACTAACTTCTTTAAACTAGCCTAAGAGAAGATTTTTTAATGGTAAAATTAATAGGTTCCGTTATATTTTAATGCTCAGGAAAAAAAGAAGAAAGTATCTTCAGATGACTATTTGGAGAAGCCTAAAACTCAATTCATTTCATCAATGAGAGTGAAATATGCATATGCCAATCTGGGACCACTAAAGAGTCCCTGCACCAGTAATTTCCACAATGCTAGGGCCTAGTCTTAGAACAGCAAGCCTAATTGGCTAGGTAGCGTACAAAGATGAATTTGCAATTATTGAAATTCAAACTCAAGCTTAGCCGCCAACGACTACCTCGAAGAAATCATTCCTCCTTTTACTCAGACAAAAAAAGTAAGTACGCATGATACAGATGTACTATAAAGATAGCAGATGTCTAAGAAGGAGACAGAAGCACCTGGATCTATGGAAGCGGCGTGGTTTGCCAAAGTTTCATCTCAGGATGTGTTTAGGGTGTGTCTTTGTTGTGGCCCAGTAATAACCACCCTCCCCACCAAAAAAGCAGTCATTGGGGCACCCCGGTATTTCCCCCTATCAACCCTCACAACATCCTGACTCTGAAATCACTGGGCATCTCGGCCTCGCCCTGATTTCTCCGAAGGGAAAGGCGGCAGCCCCAGAGGCCGAGGCCCCAGGCGCTCCTTGTCACAGCCCGCCGGGCTGGGGGCCGAGGACGTCTGCCTCCCGTGGTCACGCCTGTCTCGCCACAGGAGGCTCGCTGGGGACTCCAGAGGGTCACCCCGGAGGGCAGGAGGCCGTAGGGCGCCAAAGCCTCCTCTCAGGCACCTTGGCCTGAGCACCCGGACCGGACCGCGCCCCCTACCCAATCAGTCGCAGACGTTCTCCCAGTCCCCCCCTGACCCAAGCTCGTACCGTGCGGCCGCGTTCTTCCTCGCCGGCCGGCCGCGGCCCACCTTCGGTTCACCCAGCGACCTACGGTCCAAGCACCGCAGGTAAGGGGAAGGACCCCCTGTCACATCCCAGCCAGCCGTGGGGCCCGATTCGCAGCAGCCAACATAGCGCCAGCAGCTAGGAGGAGTGCCTAACTCCAAAGCCACCCCACCCGCTCCCTAGGCCGGCGGCGCCGCCGCGACTCCACCCTCCAGAGCCCAAGGACAGCGCGCGCGCAGCCCCGCCCCGGGACTCCTTGCGCAGGCGCAACCCCTAGGGCCTGGACTCTCAGCGCCTCGCCGCAAGACTGGAACCTCTCTGCCCATTTCTGGCCCAGTCCCTGCCCTCTCCTCAGCCTTTCCAAGGCTTCGCCCCGCCTTTCCAGACCTTCTTTCTCTGCCACCTGACTCATGGCTTGGCTCCGCCTAAACTACCTCAGGGGTCCAGAGGCTGACCCCACCTCTAACCGGCCTTGAGGAGTAACACGTGCTGTTTGACCTAGGTCAAAAGTGTCAACTCCACCTCCTGACACAGAAAAGTTATTAGTAGACTTAGCCTTGGAACTGACAGGTGCTTCCCTCCACCTTTTGTTGATGTGGAAACCTCCAACGTTTTGTGTTTGCAAATTCATCCCTGTTTGCTGCCTTCCAGTGCTCTAGAGTCTGCCTGAACCATATACCCTCTCCACTACACCAAAATATGAATTGAGATCTTGCTGAGCCTGAGGGAAGGGACCAGCAACCCTAAGTGCTTAGATTTGGAGCAAATCCTTGTTGCCCTCAATCTGGATTCCTTTTGCCAAGAACCAGGCCCTTCCGTTTGGGGATTCTATCACCCACTGAAGGTCATTCTTCCCTAGCCATCTTCTTGATGGCTAGGCCTGCTTTGAGTGTCCTTACTCTGGGGGCCTGCAGGGTCTGGATGAGTGTTAAAGATCCAGGCTGCCCTTATCTGGAGATAGACTCCTTGTTCTCTAAAATTCTTGGGGCCACAAATAAATAACATTTCCGGAGTATTTCTTGAAAAGTATCTATTTCTCCATGTCTCCAAATCAGTGATAATCCAGGGAGAAAGTATGATTTACCAGACTAAGACAAGGGTCAAGCCTGACTTGTAGAGCCATATTTCATTTAATAATATACTTCTATATTTGGAAAATGAAGTGTCATTTTTAATATCAACATCTAGAAATACAAATTGAATTTATTGGATGATAAGATGCATGTTTAAAATGTTGAAAAGACTAGATTTAAACACTCTGCAATTTATCTTTGGATTAAGTCATATCATTAGAAAGGCAAATACCAAACTGAAACTCTTAAACACACCCCGGAAGAATATCTCTCAAGCGATGCATTTACATAAGGTTTGGGGTTTACGCCATCAGTTAAATTAAGAGATGGTGCAAGAGATGGCTCCCCACAGCTTGTCTCTGGGAATGAGGAAGATACTACATACTGAAGTCTCCATATGAAGAGCTAGGAAAGGAATCTCTCAGTTCCCAACACCAGAAAAAGTTATATGCTTATCTATACTGCCAGGTTGTTATCTGGTGACCCCTGGAACACTTGAGGTGATCATGTTTTCTTTGGCAGCTCTTAAGTGCTAAGTCACTTTTCCCTCTTTCCCTCTCTCTTCTACAAAGTTTACTGGATGATTGCTGTGTGGTAATAGTTTCCAGATTCATTACTAATTTGTCTTTGTCCCAATTCCCTCATCTTCCTGATTATTATGTCACATTAATTCTATCAGCCATGTCAAATTACATAGAGGGAAAATTTTAATATTTAATACAAATATGAATCCCTAGAAGTCTGACCTATGAGGGTCTGAAAACTGCTTTTAACTGAGGTTAAGGATGAGGAGGCATACTAAGCTAAGCAGTGCTTCATAAATTTTAGCACGCATCAGAGTCTCCTGGGGGGCTTAGTAAAACACAAATTGCTGGGTACCACCCTCAGAGTTTCTCATTCAGCAGGTCTGGAGTGGTACTCAAGAATTTGTATTTCTAATAAATTCCCAAAAGAACAATACCCCAGGGAACCACACCTTAAAAACCACTGCACTAATGTACCTCTTCAACAATCTATGTTGCAATCAGCCAAATCAGGTAGAAAATGACTAAATCCAAGGAGTCCTTGAAGAACTGGATGAGAGTGTTGGATACTGTCCTGTGGACAAATTTCACAACTGTGACAACCTTCAACACAGGCTAGGTGAGACAGGTAAGAGCTGAGAAAGTGAGGGCATGACCCCAGCTCCATGAGCTAAGAGAGTAAGAGAGAAGATTAAAAAGTCAGAGACAGATGATATAAAATTCTACGGTGGGAATGATTGTAGACTAACAAGCTCTCCTTGTGTGTGTTGTTTTGTTTTTTTTTTGACAGGTCTAGTGGTATCAGAGCACAGAGTCAAGGAGTTGGATAATCTATCGGAATCCAAAGTATATGGGGGATGATGTTTCTGATTTATAGACATCTGTATGGAGATGAGTCTAGAGAAGAGATAACAAGCATACTTACACATTTTCACTATTCATATTTGGTTACATAAAAAAAGTATCTACAGTATAACCATAATAGACAAAACAAGGAAAAGGCTTTTCTCACAATTCTCATAATTGGTGCAGCCACTGTGGGAAACAATATGGAGGTTCCTTAAAAAATTAAACATAGAATTACCATATGATCTAGCAGTCCCACTTCCAGTTATATATCCAAGGGAAAGAAATGGTTATCTCAAAGAGATATCTGCATCCCAAGTTCATTACAGCATTATTAACAATAGCCGACACATGGAAGAACCTAAGTTTCTATGACATATGAATGGATAAAGAATATTTGGTATATACATACAAAAGAGTATTCCTCAGCCATAAAAAAAGAAGGAAATTTTTGCTAATAAGGATGGACCTTGAGGACACTACACTAAATGAAATATATCAGAAAGAGAAAGACAAAAATTGTATGATCTCCCATATATGTGGAATCAAAAAACAGCCAAATTCATAGAAACACAGTGTGGGATGGTAGTTGTCAGGGGCTGAAGGATAGGAAAGATGTTGGTTACAGGGTACAAACTTCTAGTTATAAGATGAATCCACTCTGGAGATTGAATATACTACATAATAACTATATTTAACAATACTGTTATCACATACTTGAAAGTAGCCATCAGAGTAGAGCTTTAATGTTCTCACCATAACAACAACAAAATGGTAATTATGTGAAATAAAGGATGTGTTTCTTAACTAACATTAATAATTACAGTAATAATTTCACATATATAAGTGTATCTAATTATCACATTGTATATCTTAAACTTATAAAATGTTACATCTATTATATCTCAAAAAAAGTTGGGGGAAAATAACAAATTCATTATCTCAAAATTCTAATTGAATACATTCAAGCATTCACCTAATAAAGCCACTGTTAAACATTGCTGGGCCCAGTCAAAAAAAAGTCTGAAGGCCAGAATTTTAATTTTAATTTAGGGTCTCATGAGACCAAATCTCCTTTTGTTCAGTTTTTTAAAATGAATGCAATATTCTCTCCTTTCATGTGGTGATCCACTTATCTCAACACCATTTATTTTAAAAATACATCCTTTTTTAAAAAAATGGTGCTAGAATCACTGAAAATCTACATGGAATAAAAAATTAACCTTGATATCTATCCCAAAATTAAATGTGAATATTAAAATAACAAAGCTTGTTATAGAAAAAAATAGGTGATTATGTTCACAATTTGGGATAAACAAATTATTTCTTAGAACCCAGAAAATACTAACTGTGGGTGGCCTTGTTAGACTGGAGTTAGGATGGTAGAGTCAACAATCTTGGTACTTGAGTTCTGGCTAAGAAAGGATCCAGAGTCAACACTCAAACTATAAGAGAAAGTTGATTTAGAAAGTCACAGAGATAGAAGAAGTAAGCTATAAAAGATACGGCTGAGGAAAAAGAAATTACAGAGGTAAAAGAAGAGCTCTTGGAGCTTAGGGGAAAGAGACAAGCAAGGAAAACACACCTGGAGGAAAGGGGAGAAGGGAGGGGGCGGGGAAGAAGAGGAAGGATAGAAAGTGGGGAAAGGCAGAGGTGTGCTCCATAGAGAGAGCCACACTGGGTCTTTTGTCCTGAGAGTTTTATTTAGAGGTACCAGGGGAGGATCTCAATAAAATAGTCATCAGCCTGAAGGTGTGTCTCCTCAAGGTCATGGTCTCTATTGATTGGTCAGTGCCAGGGCAGGGGGTCATTAGTCAATGCAGCTGGTTCTAATGTCAGCCATGGCATCACTCCATCTGGTTTTGCTGCTTTTCTTGCCCTGGATCTGAAGCATGATTGAGGCCTAGATGTCATCTCTAGGGGTTAGTTACTTAAGGGAGTTGTCAGACATGGGCTTGTACTCTTGCCTGATTGTTAGGCACCTAGGGATTTCCATGTTGGTGACTGTCTGCACCTGGCCTATCATTCCTACTTTGCTCATGACTATCTAACTGCCTACTGTATAATCATAAAAGAATAGATTGCTAAATTAACTTCATCAAAATTAAAAATTTCTATTCATTAGGACATAATTTAGAAACTGAGAGAGAAAACCACAGAATTGGAAACAAAAACCACAAGATAATTATGAATCTGAAAAATAATTTGTATTAAGAATATTTCTACCTGTCATGATGGTGGCATAGGTAAACACAGCTCATCTCCTCACACAACCACATTAAAATTACAACTAAAATATAGAACAACCATTACTCAGAACCATCAGAAATGAGGTTGAATGGAAGTCTGACAACTAATTAAAGAAACCACATCCATCCAGACTGGTAGGAGGGACAGAGAGGCTGGTCCCACATCCATATGTAGTGGATAAAAATTCACCAAGAATATCTTGGGAGTAAGGAGTCCCAGCCCCTCAGCCCCAGGTTCCAGTGCAAAGAAGAAAAGTCCCCACTTCTGGCTGCAAAAATGAGCAGGAATTAAGTTGATGGAAGAAACTTCTGGAGTCCAAAGCAGTTCCCCTTAAAAAAATCACGCATGGACTAATCAGACTTACTCCCTCTAAGCTCCAGCACCTGAGTAGCAGCTTGAAAGGCATCAGTGGCATACAGGGAGGAAATGAAGTATATGGAATCAAGTTGGGAGCTCCCAGACAGAAAGATGGGCAGAGGCCATTGTCCCTTTTCTGAGGCCTCCTCACTCAGGC